CTTTAACAATAAGTAGCAGCTCTTTCTATTATTAACATGAGTAAGTATATTGAGTTTTACATATTATGCAAATAATTGAAGATAAAGAATATATTGTATAGTATATATAACTGGAATGTATAAATTTATACAATATAATGGTATACACACAAACACATCAACACCACCGAGACCAAATAGTCCCACACACACACCACACACACACACACAGTACACACACATAGCGATCTATAGCTCACTGATCAGCGTCGTTATTACTCACACATATATAATACTAATAGGTAGGTATCATATATATAAGATTATATACAATAATAGTATAATATAGTCTAACAATTTAATGATATAGGAAATGTAGTGTGGTAGTATATATATATGTATACACAGTAAAAAAGAAGGCAACGCGTATATGGTATGGGTATGTAAGCTACGAGATATTATATGATCTCACAATATATACTAGCGATGGATCGGAGAAACACTTATATACACTGTAGTACGTACATGGCACACTAATCCGAGAATAGTATCATTTTATTATATTAATTTACAATAGTAGGTTAGTATGAGTGGAGAGTAGAATAGTTAATAATATGTTGAGGGTCTCTCACAGTTTCTCGCTTACGCTCTCATGCCATATATATAGAACTAATAGTATTATTGAGACTTGAGTATTTCACGATATCTAGTCTATATATAGTTCTTCTCATATATCACTATCACATCTACTATCACGTTATAGAGTATCGTATGATTGTAGATATATATTTTTGTGTAGTAGGCTATGCGTTATATAATATAATAAGTATAACTATATAGCTCACTTTAGTTATATAGATAAAATATAGATCATATTAGAGTTTAAATATTGTACAGCATCAAGCCTTGTGGCAGACAGCACCATGGGTGGTGCTGTGTGTATTAATATAGAATACAATTAGGAGTTAACTTAGTTACTATTAGATGTAATATCCTTATATTGATTAGTTATTATAATAATAATGTATGATATATTATTATATTATGATAGCATTATATAAATACACCGCGAGGACTGAAGGCTGATATTGAGAAAACTTTTTCAAAAGGCTGAACGTAACGATATCTACGCATAAGACGACCCGAAGACCCAGACACCGTAGAGACTACAATGATGGGAGATAGTTGCCTAATCTGATTGCTTAACAAGAGCACATGTCACCGAGGTTTGAGTATCGGACACCTGTGAGCGATAAGGCACCGCCACGTTAAGGGTCTCGCAAATGATGATATTATATATCATGATGGAACAATATTATATATCACTGTGAAATAAAGAGAGTTGCTATGTGTATACTCTATTTGATAGATTAATACATTTGTCTGTTTATTATCTTATTTGACCGAGGTTAGAAATTAAGAGCCTGTCTAAACATGAATAGAAATGATTGATGGTAGAGCGATGACCAGGATGGAAATATTAAACATATCGCGTAATTTAAACAAGCAATATATGAAAAACAGAAGATGAGATATCTTAGAATATTTAATGAAAATATTAAGATGAAAACTTTGAAGAGAGGACTTATCAGTTAAATAGCGCACAGAAATTTAAAATGAGTATATAATAATATAAGATAATGAAAAGAGAGGTGAACTGGTTTTGATGCGACCTCTCTCGGAAATAGGTCAAGAGAGAATGGCAGCACATGAGGTAGAATTCGATGGTGTGTTTAAACCAGATACTAGAATGGGACAGGTCACTAGAATTAAATGAACACTGGATGAAGGATAATCATAATAAAGAAGAGAAGAATAGGGGGTAGTCATTTAGTGCTCTCTGAGGTCTACTAATAGACTTATATATAAATTCGGCAACGGTATGTACATAGAACTTTATTAGTAAATATTGCCTGCCTGGCGATTTCTACACAGATCTAAAAGGTATGATAGAAATCCCGAGAAGATCTTTTAAAAAAAAGAATAAGTAAATAGAAGTTGCTAGTAACCGGTATGATGACATAAGCAACGATCAGTAGGCTCAAATGTCATTATGAAATCGATTTTTCTTTTTACCAAAAGGCTGAACCGTTAATAACAAATGATATATTTAGCAGCCTAGTTACTTATTAAAAGGAATGGGTTGATATATTTTCTTCAAAGATATCTATGTAAAATCTTGTCAACTACTATAAAATGATCATTGCAGTAGTAATATTCAAATAGAAGAATTATTTTTCTTATTTATCTTATAACAATATTTTGATACAAAAATGACCGATTGAGAGACATTACATTTTCTCTTGTTTGAAAGGAGGGGAATCCATCCACACCAAAATCATCGCCATCGGTTATACAAAGGTTTTATGTAAAGATAGAAGATAAATCATTCTTGCATTTAGCTATTACTACCGCAATGATTTTATTAATTAAGTCGTACGTAAAACACACACTCACATTAAAAATAGTACTTTACTAATTAATAATTACCTTTATTGGTTTTGTACTGAATGTTTAAACAATACGTTTGATGCATTTTCGAAATATATTGTCTGAGGAAATGGGACGATTAGGATATTCTACTATCAACTCACCATCAGGAAAACGATTAGATGACATTTTTTTCCCCTAAAATAGTCCCAAAAACAATCATTTGCAATAGTTGACAGAGCATGAATGAACACTGTGAACAAGATCGGGCCTAGTGTAGAGCCTTGTGGTACCCCGGGAGAGATTAGTTAGGCTGCGACCACACCAGTGACAAAACACGGCGGGAACATTAAGACTGACAAGTTGGGTAAGTTGTTAAGTCGTTGAGGAACATCGAAGTAGACATGTTGGTACGGATTTGTTGGGCGACATGTTAGCAGTCCTGGCGTTGTCGTCAGAGACCTCCCGCCAACCAACAGACCAACATGGTGTGAACATTTTCGCCAAGTCTTCTCTCACTGCCATGTCTCTCAATACTGTAAAAGATATGACACCATACATATCAGGAGATTTGTATCCGAAGGTCTCCTATTGTGTCCACCAAATGTTTCCAGTCTGTCTCCAAGCAACATATCACTGGTATTGATGCAGCCTTACGGTAGGTTTTCTTGAATTCTGATGAACTGCTTTCTTGCAGACGGGGAAATTCTGAAACTGTCATTATCAATGCCATGATTTCTCTCTATATTTAGATTTTTCTGGCCGATACGGTTAAAATCTCTAGGTAGGTCGACATAGCATAAACAGATTTAGATGGTTTTATTGTTTATCATAAATTTCGCTTGAGAACGCTGTTTCGGTGGTTGAGTTACCCCTAAACCCATCTTTTTAATAATTTCATTTTAATATAGATATGGTAATTGGTTTGCCAATATTTTCTCAAGTATTTTTAGATTTTGCACGGTATAGAGTGATTAGACGTTAACCATTCAGTAATTATGTAAATCCTGATTTGAAAATAGGTATTCAAGTGATGTTAATGATAAATGTTTTATCATACCCAACCGAGGTAGACTTTCCATGATGAATCGATAGAACAAAACACATTGAAATGCGTGTATAAAATGTAGTAGGTGGGCAGTTCAGTGCCATTTAAATCGATAGAAATATTTGTGTGCAAGTAAGTGAAGTATACAAATAAATTTTATGATGGTTGTATATTATGGCAAGTTACTGTGATTAGCTGGATATCGTTACCTGCATGCATTTAAATTCTATTTTCAAAAAGGAGCGCCTTACGCCTAAAGTATATTCAAGTGTGGATTATACAGTTAAGAGTGTTGTGTTCTGGTACTGCATGATGTCCTTTCTGTGTGTTATTCATTATACTGATGATGTATTTTGATATGAAATGGTGGGTTATTCTCACAGCTGTTGCAGGGTGTGTAATATCCGTATTACATGTTCTATCACAGGCTGTAGGTTAGGAAGGTCTTGCATTTAAAGGTGAAATTGAACCTTTGAGACCTCTTCTTGAACCTAGGAGCTCAGCAGAGAACACAACTTGAGAACCACAACCTTGACAGTAATGAAGAGTCTCACGTATAAAATAAAGGATATAAAACCAAAATATTCATCCTGATCATTTTATTAAAGTTCCCAATAATCAGCAGTTTGTCGGGCAGCAATTGGAAAGATAAGATCATAGAAATTCTACAATATTCATCGGAAATTATCCTAAACAAAAACATTTAATAAAACAACAATTCAAATAATGTATTACAAAAAAAAAATCTTCCATCACGAATCTGGCAAGTAATAAAAAAAAAAAAACTTCACCCAAATTACAATACCGTTCGTGTTGGTTTCTGTTCACTGGCGAGTTGGACTAACGAAAAACAAGCACATAAGGTCGTAGAATTTACACCTTATTATCCCAAACCCTAATTTTATCTTTGGTAGAGAAGACTATCTACTGCACACAGCACATCTGCCAAGTACAATGAAAGAGCATCTATACGTAAACAAAGGAAATTTATAAAAACCGAGATGAAAAAATAAATAAAAAACGACAAAAGGACTCAAAAGTGTTTGAGTAATGACTGGACTCTGAAGGATGAAAGAGCTAACCCTTCCCCGGTGCTACAACTGAAGAGATTTCCCCCTGTATAGATTCAACACGTCCTTCCTGCGGATGTAGAGAAGCAAAGCGGTAAAGAGACTATAATATAATGTATCATCACATTACCTGCATAAAGCTCTTCACATTTACTTATGCCCTAAAGCTTTGCCTCTAACAAAGCAATTAGTTATTTACTCTGAAGATGCTTCGCTTCACTCGTTCTCCTTATAAGCAGTCCTAAGAGTTAAAGATGATGCAGATTTAACATGAGAGATATGGACATAAAATGGAGTGTGACCTCATGATGTGATATATACATTATGCAAGAACCAGATAAAATACCAGATGATGGCATTACTATAACACAACCTGTCATTCGACATGATATGTATGCATTCTAGCCAAATGCGAAGTAAATGCACCACTTCTTTCGATTGGGATTCGGACGGGGCACAGCAGACCGGAGGCCTCAAGGTTCCCCGGTCTCCGTGTCGCTCCCAATGGAATACGTGGGTAGGTATGTACTAAGATTCTTCTCGAGGTTCCTCAGGAGTTCGACGCTCTTCAGGGGCTCGTACTCCTTGCCGAAGTCCTTGGCTCTCCAGGGACCGTTCAGCGCATCGTCGACATCGCTGGTGACCTCTTGACCCTCAGTGACCTTCCCGCCGTCGACGTCGCTCCGGCAACTTCCAAGACGACCTACGCCCTCCACCTCCTCCTCCTCGTCCGAATTCCCGTCCTCCACCACAGCACCCAACCTCCTCCGCAACCTGCCGCTCACTCCGAGAGAATTTTCCTTCTGGTTCGCCCCTTCTTCCTCGTCTTCGCTACTTGTAAGACTTGGAGAGAAGCTACTCAAGCCGAGACTGACTGGAGATGCTGCGGGGGAGAGGGGAGCAGAGAGAGAACCGCAAGGTTAGTGAACGTTCACGAATGTCATGATTGTATTCTATGGATTCACTATTTTAACAATATTCTTTATCGATGCATATGATCATATTTTTTTTATACAGATTAACATATAAATGATATAAAACCAATTTGTTGTTTCTCTTATCGATTATTAAAACTGCTAGTATCAAACTCAGTGGCGACAGGTATACTCTCAGCTGATGGCTCCCTAGGTAGTCAGACCCCAAGGAGTTAATTAGCACGTTTCACACAATTTCCCCTTCCTTGAATTTTCGAATTTTGTTTCTAATTCTATTAATATCGCCAGTCTTCATTATTACTAACATTAAGACAATCATAACATAATTGACCATATTACCCATAAAAGATGATAATGAACCTTTCCAAAAAATCAAGGAAAAGAGTAGGACCAATAATTGACTCCTTGGTGACTAAATACCCGTGGCGCCATCTATGTGTCAACAAAGTGGACATGACATTTATGCCAAAATATCCCGCGCCAGAGAGTTGAAAGATTAGCATGCAGGACAGCTAGGAATGGATTAAAGATTAGACTAGAAATTTATCAAATGAGACTGGGAGAGCAAGGGAGCAAAAACAAAAAATAAAGTATAAAAGATATATATATTATATATATATAACTATATATTATATATTATATATATAATATATAATAATATATATTATATATTATATAACTGTATATATATGTATATATTATTACTGTATATATACGTGTGTAATATAATATTATGTATATATAATATCTATAATATATAATAGTATATATAATATATATATATGTATATATATATTTATATAGAGAGAGAGAGAGGAGAGAGATGAAGAGAGAGGAGAGAGAAAGAGAGCCATGAGAGAAGAGAAGAGAGAGAGAGAGAGAGAGAGCAGAGAGAAGGGACACATAGACACACACACACAGCACACCACACCAACACACCACACAACCACACACCACAGAGCACAAGAGGAGAGAGAGAGAGGAGAGGAGAGAGAGAAGAGAGAGAGAGAGAGAGAGAGAGAGAGAGAGAGAGAGAGAGAGAGAGAAGAGGGGACGGGGAGTCAAGAGGGAAAAGAATAAGAAGAGAGAGAGAGAGAATCGAGTTTTTTCATGTAGACAATATTTTAAATTAAATAATATTAACTTGTTTCAGGAATATCTGTTTTCCGATTCACCATCATATGGCAAATCAGCTTGTGCAAAAAAAAAAAGATTAATAATATAAAAAAGTGAACTCGATTGAAAGAGAATATTAATCTCTCATTTAAGTAAGTATTCATAAGTAGTTGGGTCTGCAGAAGCTGACAAAAATCAAAAATCTACATCTATTTGAAAGCATTACATGCAAACTCGATACATTATGTGTCAACCTGTTCCCCACAGCAAGCAACAACAGCAACAACGAGCGAGGAATAACTCGAGGATAATTGTAAACATAAACCACCACCACCACAAGAACCCGGAATGTATGTTAAACAACCAAATTTATGTTAACCTCACGCCCAAAGGGAATCAAATATAACACCAAAAAAAAAAAACAATTTTAATGTGTTTTAGCGATTAAGAATAAAAAATAATTAGTAACACAACCGAACTTAAGCATAATCATTAGTGTATTAGACTCAATGGGTAAACGTGATTCGAGTTTTTCTGATTTACCAAACACGCCAAACGCTGGTCGTCTGCCTGCCTTATTCATCCGAAAAGTTTAGAGAATAAACCAAATATTTCCTAAAAGAGAAGAGAGTGGAAAGAATTTCATTGAGTTTCCCATCTTTCAAGAGAAGTAAATTTTATTCTTTCCTTACCATTCATGATTCCACGTCTATGAAAGCGTGGAAAGGGAAGTGGATATAAAAGCACTGGTTAGCCCTTCAAGAGAGGTCAAGGGAGAAGACTTAAAGACTATTACCTTTCCTATTCTATTGAACTTTTATTAGCGTCTTATAGAAACGAATTTATTCCTTAGACCCACGCCTCTGAAACTAACATTAACAAGGCTAATCCAACTTTAAAAAAAAGAGAAAAAAGGACATTCCTCCATAGTAAAGAGAAATGACCATCTGTGATTTAAGAAACGGATCTAAATCAGTACTGAAAAGCAGCAGAATGAGTCCTAAAGATGACTAATTGGAAAAAAATTATATTCTTGGGAGATAAGAACTAGCTGAGATTTAATGCATTCAAAACTTCCAACTACATTTTATGGATCTGTAACTTCTAAATCAAGAAACTAATTTAAAGCTAGCATATATTCTGATCTACTGCATGCACACTTTGTACATTTAGGAACGTTTTTTTCCCTTACGTTTTGTGTACTTTAAAATATCAGGATACTTTTATTCTCGCTTTTCTCAAATAGCAAAAATCTTCATAACTTGAACTTCGCTTGTGTGTAGATATTATGACACAGTAATTGGAGATGCAATTATATTTATATCAACAAATAATATTATGGAAATTAAAAATGAATATCAATCGACTGGTAAATATTCATAGAGGGTCACAGGAAGTGAGCAGATACACAAAGCTTAAGGTGTAATGCTCTTGGCACCACACAAACCATATGGCTTCTCTCGGATTCAGCATGAATAGTTCAGGCACTTTAGAAGCATTAATTTGCAAATTGGGGTTAAATGCTGCTTTCTGTTGGAGTTAACGAGACGTAAAGCTAAGCTTTATGAGAAAAAGCAGACTTTAAGATTTGTAAATATGCAAGCAACTGAGCTCAGCTATCCTTTTAGCTTCATTAAGCAAACTTGTTTTTTTATGATTTCTCTAAAGCTTTTATACTCTGTCTTTATTAGGAACACGATTAATTGGATAAAGCTTTAGTGACACAAAACTTGAATATATTTTCATGAAGGCCAGTTTCCTAATAAATATTTTACTCTATATATCATCATATTTATCAAAATCATCAATTCCTTGACTATTCAGCGACTATCAAAGCTCAAGTTATCAAGATTTTCCCCAGAGTGCATGTACAACTGCTCCTCCTCGCCTACACTGCTTTTGACATTTTAAAACTTTGCTTCACAATATATCACTTTGCTCTACCTCTCAGTGAACCTACTTGCATGAAACCCTTATTTACAGCGCTCCCTTCCCTCGCTTGCTTACCTGACCCGTCCGCAAGCATGGAATGTGGTGCCCGGCTATCCAGCAGGTTCTCTGACGATCCTACTGAAAGCTGCATGTGTGGCTGCTGGAATAACAGTGCGTTGAACTCGTCATCAAAGAACTCCTCCTCAACCTGTTACGGGGAAGGAAAACATCCGTTGGTTACCAGTCACTCCTAAAACTCCAAGTAGCTTATCGCATCCCGTAGCTTCGAAGTACGTTAAATAGGGATATATCTATGCTAGATTGTCATCCTAGGCTTCCAAAGAATGGAACAACACCCATCCCATTGCCCACGAAAGACAAACCCAACAAACCTCAACTTCTGGACGCCGCCTGCTCTTGCGAGGGCGCGATCTCTGGCCCTCGGAATGGCGTCGTGGTTGAATCTTGACCGCTGTTTCTGCTAGCCCTGCTGAAGTCCCACTGATGCTGCTCCATCTCCGCCCAATGGCTGGTTGCTGTTAAAAAAGTATACATAAATATCATTGCTGGGCTATATAATTTCTCCAGTATTGCTTCCTTTAACTTGCACTTTTACATATTTAAAAAGGTTAGTAAATTTTAATGCGGTTAATTTTCAGATCATCTGCAAGGTTCTCTTGCATAACTGACATCTCATCGCAAATGATAAACTCTAACAACAAAACACGAAGTTCAACTCATGCAAGGAACCACGACTGATGCAAATAGACTAACCTTAGCACTGGGATTTGTTGAAGATCGAGGGAGCGAGCTGTGATTCGAGGAAGGTCTGTTGCCTGCACTCGACGAGGGAGGCTGCAGGGAGTGCGAGGAACTGTTGATCTGGTGTGTGGGACTTGAGGGACCACTTGCCAGCGAACATGACGACGAATGACGTGTTAACTGGTGGCTAGCCGGCTTGATACCGGTGATCTCGTCCCACCCCCGACTTCCCTCTCTTTTGCTGCTCCTGTGAAAAATAAATATTGAATGAATGATAAAGAAGATTTCTAAAAAAAAATGTTTTTCTGAGCCACAGGCTTAAAATCTTTCATGGAAATACTTTCTGATATACCTTCTGACACACTTTGATTGAAATACAAGAATAAACCTATTTAAATCAAGTCAGTCAATACTATTTTGCTCTACACAAGTTAAATCCCTTATTACCTTGCAGAATGGGCTGGACTCTTGGGAACAGAGCGGGATCTCCGAGCTCGCGTCTGCTGCTCAAGGTGAGGATCATTCATGTCGTCCTTACTGGAGGAGGAGTCTGAGACCTGTGACAACTTTCTAAGCGTAAGAGTGATCTGACTAACAGTTCTGACTGGCCGACGTCCGCAGATATCACTACTGCCACTGGATGACGCACTGGAAAGAGAAATATGCGACGTAGTTCTTGTGACGCTGGTGTTGGTGGAGAAGGGCGCGGAGTTGATGTTGGTCATGCTCAGCCCGCGCCGGACGACCTCCTTCCTTCGGAGCGCGTGGGAGGCCTGAGTCTGCAGCTGGTTGTGCTCTAGTTTGGAAGCACTGGCAGGGCGCTCAGGAGCCAGGAAGGCCCCGTCCTCCCCGCCGTCGTTCTCCATCAGGAAGGCTCTCTTGGCCGCGTTCGAAATGTAGCTGTAACCCGAGGCCTGGTCCTCGTCCGACGGCGAACTCGTCCGGGAGTGGTCGGGGTCGGAGTCCGTCACGGGAGTGATGGGAGACATGGCGGGGTGAAAGGACGCGGCGCTGGAGTGTCTCTCTCCTCCGTACTCATCCCTGTTTCTGCAGCCTCCTTTGCTGCAGTCCAGATGGCCCCGTGAAAGGATGTCTGGAGTCTGGCCGTTTGTCAAAGCCTTGATGTTTACTTTATTCGGCAGAAGGTCTGGCTGGAGATCTGCACGTAAGACTGAAGTTGTTGGGGGCCTGGACGGGGTGGATGTCAAGAATGATGGGTTTATTCTGTAAAAGAGAGTAAGATGAAATATGATACTTTCAAATCACATAAACAGTCTCACTTATTCATTTAAGTAAATGCATAAAATGATTTCACCTTCAGTTTCTCAATAATTGCCTAAAAACTTTAAATAACCCTTACTTGGCACTTGTCATGGTGTCAATAACAGGACTGGGCGTTCTTGTACAAGGCGTTGAGAATCCGCTGTCTATGCTCATGGTCTTCCCTCTCGCCTTGTCCGTCAAACTCTGCATGGCTTTCGACCCAGCCCCATCAACCTTATCTTCCCTGGGCACATTCACAGACTTCTGAAGCCCCTCGGACGTTTTCCTTAATACTGTCTGTTCTTGACACGAGCGCCGCAGGTAAGAGGGCTTCTCGTGGTGCACTTCACCTGTGACTAACATGCGCGTGGCAGAGCTGGACTCCTTTCTCAATGGATACTTCCCCGTGTCCCTGGCCAAGTGGTCGGGAGACGTTCCTTCCTGACTCACAGCAGATCCTGAGCTACTCTTGTTATGGCTGGGCTCGTCTGTGCCGCTCTGGACGCTCTGGCCCGAGTCTGAGCTGGGAGAATTTTGCGCGGAGTTTTGAGACGAATGCCTGCCAATGACAGGCGTGTTAGGGATAGAGGGAGGACCCCAGGCTGGGATAAGTGGCACTCTGTCCTCTTCGTTCGACTGAATCTGGGGTGAAAAAAATATCCACGATTAATACAACCTACCTTTGAAATAATCCATCGAAATAAATAAATCCATGACCTCCATCATCGCATAAAAAAAACGAAAAAAACTCCACCATCCACCAAAAATCCACATAGCGCTCTAACTCACAAACCGACACATCACGAGCTCTTACCCTCAGGGACCTCAGCATGGTGTGGATTTCCTGGAGGTCGAGCTCCCTCTCGTGTGAGTTCCACTTGAGTCCATACTGGGTAAGGTAAGTGACGAGGGAAGGGGGGGAACCGCTCACGGGGGGCAGGGTCTCTCCCCCGCCCACCCGTCTCACCACCTCTGCCTCCTCCACGCCCGACCACGGGGGCATGCCTGGAAGAAGGGGCGGTTTAGAGGAGTGTGCTGGCCTCTTAGAGAGCGCGGTGTTGTATTACTAATAGGAAATGCCATAATCAAGATATTTACAACCTAAATCCTTACAAAATGCAAATATAATAATATTAGTAATAATAATAATAATATCTTAAAAAATAAAAATCAATCATCAGCCATTTGCATCCACCACTCTCGGCGCAACCACAGGAATGCATCCATCCATCACATCTACATCTACATCCCCCACACACCACACATACCCTCCCCTCCCACTCACCCTTACCACAAAAAACACACTAAAAAAACACAGACACACATCCACCCCACATCCCCCCCCCCCAACACACACCTATCCACCCCCCCCCCCACATACCCACACCCACGCCCACACTCACCGGACCAAATTTCCCACATGATGGCTGAAAAGGCGTAGATCTCGGAGCGGTCTGACACCATCTGCTCGCTCAGTGTCTCGGGAGCCTGCCACGGGTGAAGCCACGTCGCACGGAGGAGCTGCGGCGCCTTCATGCTGCAGCCCTGGAAGATCGAGGGAGTGTAAGGAGAAGGATAATTATATACATTCCGGATAAAGAGCGGGATTCTTGAGTGGAAGATCGAGGGAGTGTAAGGAGAAGGATAGTTATATGCATTCCGGATAAAGGATAAAGATAAAGATAGGATAAAGAGCGGGATTCTTGAGTGGAAGGGCTAGGAAGTGTTAGATGAATGAAAATTATGTCCATTAGATAGAATGGATTGCGTGAAAGGGAGAAGGAAGTGTAAGGAGAAGGAAAATTATATGCATTCCGATGGATAGAGAGCGGGATCCTTGAGTGGAAGATCGAGGAAGCGTAGAGAACGAAGGAGAAATTATATCCATTCCGGCAAGATGGAATGAAATGTGAAATTCTTTCTTGAAAGGGAGAAGGAGCGAAAGGGCGAGGGAGTGTAAGAAGAATGAAAATTGTACCCATTCCGGTAGGATAGATAGCGGGATTCTTGCGTAGAAGGGCCAGGAAGCGTAGAGGAGTGACAGGAAAATTATAAAAAAGAAAAAAATATATATAAGATAAATTTGGGAAATCCTTCCTCAACTATATACTACCTTTTCTTACCAATCCAAAAATAAAAATAAAAAGAGAAAGAGAAAAAGTAAAAGAAGAAAAAGAAAAAAAGAAAAAGAACAAGAAAAGAAAAAGAGAAAGGAAAAGAAAAAGGAGAAGAAGAAAAGAAAAAGAAGAAGAAAAGAAAAAGAGAAAGGAAAAGACAAAGAACAACAACAAAAGAAAAAAAAAGAAAAGAAAAAAGAAAAAAACGACCCACAAAACACTCAAGGAGCAAGCAACCTCGGCCTCCAAAGCCTCAAGCCTCACCTTCCCCTGCATCTCGAGGGCGAACTCAAAAGCCCCGAGCTTGGCGTGGCTGGTGGAGACGAGGTGGAGGGCGTGGGACGAGACGGCCGTGTGGAGCCAGCCGTGGGCGTGGAGGAACAGCATCGCCTCCACCAGACCCACGAGGATGTCCACGGCGCCGCCCACGTTCAGGTCTCGATGCTGAGGAGGAGGAAAGGGGGGGGCGGGGTTAGATCATTCTCGCTCTTACTCTTTACTCTCTCTGTCTCTGTCTCTGTCTCTCTGTCTTTCTTTTTAGGGGGGGGTAGATGGGTGACTTGGGCGTCGTCTAATGGGGCTGATTAACATTGCTGTTGTTATTAGTGTAATTATCATTATTATCATGATTATCATTATTGTTGTTATTATGATTATTACAATTGTATTTATTATCATTATCATTATCATATCAATTATTCTCATCATCATCAACAATCATCATCATTATCCTCATCATTACCGTTATCAGTATCACTGCCACTTTCTCTCCCTCCTCCCTCCCTCCCTCTCCCTCCCTCTCCCTCTCCCTTTCCTTTCCCTCCCTCCCTCTCTCCCTCACCCTCTCCCTCCCTCCTCTCCCCCTCCTCCCTCCTCCCTCCCTCCCTCTCCCTTTCCCTCCTCCTCCCTTTCCCTCCCTCCCCCCCCCTCCCTCCTCTCCTCCTCCTCCCTCCTCCTCCCTCCCTCCCTCTCCTTTCCCTCCCTCCTCTCCCTTTCCCTCCCTCCCTCTCCCTTTCCCTCCCCTCCCTCCTTACCTGCACATGCAAATGATGATACAGCGACCCGTGAGGAACATTCTGGAAGACGAGGGTGATGTGCTCCGGCTGCGGCGAGGTCACGTGACACACCGCCATCACCTCCAGGAAGGCCGGGTGACGGAGGCGGCGGAGGATCGACAGCTCCTGCACCAGGGACTTGCAGGCGCCTTGGTCGGGGTGTTCTTGTCCTCGCCTGCGATGGGGGGGGATGAGAATGAGAATGAATGAGGGGAAGAGAAGGGGGAGGGGGAGAAGGGGGAAGGGTGGAAGGGGAAGGGGGAAAGGGGGGAGGAGGGGGAAGGGAGGGGAGGAGGAGGGCGCAAGAGGGGGCGGAGGGGGGAAGGGGGATGGGGGGACGGGGAAGGGAGGGAAGGGGGGTTTAATATGTCTTTTTCATTTTTTTTCTTTGTTGATTAATTCATATATATGTCTTGTTTGTTTATTTATTTATCAATGTGGGTTAACTGATCTTTCTTTTTTATTGAATAATTCCTATATATGTCTTGTCTTGTTTGTTGTTTGTTTCTTTTTATTTATTAATGTGGGTTGATGGATTTTATATGATATTTTTATTATCTTGATTAATTTTTTTGTCTTATTTTTCTTTATTTCTTGGTTCAATTTATGCCTTCATTTCCCAGAAAGGAAATGGCGTAATTATCAGCATTATTATTTTATCTATTTGAGATGACTTGCAAATCGCATGGCTTAATTTCGCAGTAAAAAGATGGCAAAATATTTTTTTTAAACATCATTAATTACTTCTTTTCTATTATCATCATTATTATTTTCAATATTATCATCATTGTCATTATTATCGCTATTATTATCATTATCATTATTGTCATTATCATCGCTATTATTATTATTATCATTATCATCGCTATTATTATTATTATCATTATAATCATTATTTTAGACAAGCATTCAAATCGCACGTCTTAATATATATATATATATATATATATATATATATATATATATATATATATATATATATATATATATTATATATATATATTACACTAAAGAAATATCTATCACTAAGTAAATATCTATCACCAAAGAAATATTGACACTGAGAATACATTCCCTCTAAAAAAATATCCAACACTGAGAATAAAATTACTAATGAAATACTGACATAAAAAATATTCAGTACAATTTCTATTTACCTTAAAAAAAAGAATAAAGAAAAAATATATATTCAGCTTAATATTAAATTACCTTAAAAAAGAAAAAAGAAAAAAATATATATTCAGCATATCCAATTATATATATAATATATAATATATATATATATATATATAT